GCGGAAGGGGGAGAAGGAGGGAGAGAGAGAGAGAGAGAGAGGGAGAGGAAGATGGGGATAGTGGAGGAGGCTCACAATGTACGGGTGGTGGGGAACGGCGAGAAGGTCGTCGTCTTGGCCCATGGGTTCGGAACTGATCAGTCCGTCTGGAAGCACCTGTTACCGCATCTTATCGAGGGGTATCGAGTGGTGCTGTTCGACAACATGGGCGCCGGGCCGACCAACCCGGACTACTTTGACTTCGATCGCTACTCCACGCTCGAAGGCTACGTCCATGACCTCCTCGCTATCATGGAGGAGCTCCGAATCCAATCCTGTATCTTTGTCGGACACTCCGTCTCGTCAATGATCGGTGCAATCGCCTCCGTCTCCCGACCGGACCTCTTCGAGAAGATCGTCATGCTGGGCGCTTCACCCAGGTAAGACGACTTTCAACTGTTCGATGTTGGGCCCTTGATGGATTTTTGCTACTGTTGAGTTATAAATTAGTAGTCGATGCCGTTCAATGCTGCGTGTCAAATCGATTATTTAGCGTATACAAGGAGTAAAAAGGACGGAAAGAATTGGAGAGTTGGTTAAAGAGGTATAGAAATTTGGCTACTCTAGGGCTAATCCTTTGTACTTGCTCTAGTGTTCTGGTGTTTTTTACATTTGCTCGGATCTGTTACATGGGCGGCTTTTCTCGTTTTATTTGCTTTTTTTTTTCTTCTTTTCCTGTAGGATTATTTGTCGTTAGGGTATGAACTGTTTAGCTTTGGCAGCGCTGTAGCATTGTTTCTTGTTATTTGGTGGGGTTTATTAAATTTTATAAATTCAGATATAAGCTTCTTTTGAGGCGGCGGTGAAGTTCCTTTCGGTTGGAGCAAAAGCTGAATTACGTAAAATTTTTTGTTTGATGAACTGCTGGAGAAGAACGTCTCCCGAAGTTCTTTGCAAGAACGACAAATTTTCGCTATATCGCAGCTCGTCTACTCCAATTGGAAGAACTCTAACTTAAAAAAAAAATTATGAAATTTGCCGCTATTTCAAATGAAACCATAATGAACTTTTGAGAGGTTTAAATTTGAAATTTTTTTTTGTTTGATGAACGGCTGGAGAAGAACGTCTCCCGAAGTTCTTTTGCAAGAACGACAAATTTTCGCCATATCGCAGCTCGTCTACTCCAATTGGAAGAACTCTAACTTAAAAAAAAAATTATGAAATTTGCCGCTATTTCAAATGAAACCATAATGAACTTTTGAGAGGTTTAAATTTGAAATTTATTCGGTATGAGAACATGATAACTGTTTGTCTTAAATCATTTGATTTTTTTTTCTTAAATTTAATTTAAAAGTTTTGAGAGGATTGATAATTATAAATTCGATAAAATTTATGTAAATAATGAGATCTAAACATCCTGATTTTAATCAAATTAAGCCATCAAATATTTGATTTAAAGTCCTCTAAGTTCAATAGGGCAGAATTTAAGCTAAATTTTGTGCTAAATCCTACATAAAGTAGGATTGTAAGCAGATCCATAAAGTAAAGTGATGCAAAGCAATCATTCATCCTCACTTTCTGTATGGCTTGTAGCTATTGTC